GTGCTGTGCGCAGCTCATGCTGGACAATGGGTGCTGTCCAGGAGAGGAGTGCTGCCAGCGGTGCTGCCCCCAGATGCCTGGTTCTCCCTTAACTGTGGCCACAGCCAAAGTACCGGTGTCACCTGAGCAAACTCAATCTCTCAGAGTCGGGGTCATTATTAAGGGAATTTCTTAGACTGTGACCCTGAACTGAATTTTTAAAAAATATTTTCTCTGCACTGAGCACTACCAGCCATGTCCAAGATTCATTGCTAATTGTTCTACATCTGCCAGGGGTTGACTGGTCAGAGAGGACAAGGGAACCAACTGAAAGCAACAATCAATGTTACTTTGAAGTACTGGGCCATGCATGTTAGCGCTTAATCAAAAAACCAACAACCTCCAGTGTCCCTATTCGGCTTTGACAACATGCAGTGTACATGGAGGGAGTGTTTCACTTCCAGCTTCCCCCCCAAAATCTTTTGATGAACCAAAGGTAGAAGACGGAATGCTGGGGATCAGATGATTACTCAGTCGGGTGGGGGAAGTGTCCGTGATGGGAAGTACTTGGAATGGGAGTGCAAATATACACAAGGCTCAGTTGAACATGATGCAGGAGGCCTGAGTCATTGACTAGACACCTCTGCAGACAACGGAGAACCCCACCCTTCCTGCGTGCGACAGCTTCTCACGGGGGATTTGTCAAGGAAAGGTTGACAATCACCCAAGGATGGACGTGACAGCTCACATATAATCTGGCCAACTGAGTGAACAAGTGGTTCTGGGTCACATATGTTTCCAGATTAATCACTTGGAGATCATGAAGAATCGATCACAATTGCTTGGGCTTTACCTGGTTCTAGCCCCTCACTGGTTATTCCCTGAGCAATATTCCCCAATTATGGATCAGATACCCAGGGGCACAGTTTCTGATTGGCTCAGCTTCTTCAACCTCTGATTCACATGGTGATATCTTCTGTACAACACATCTGATTGGTCCTTCTCTTTCTCACAGCTACCCACCCTGACTCAACAGCTTGGCCAGGTGAGTTTGATGTTCCTGAACTCATGTGTGACCTATGGTCTTGGCTCACCTCCACATTCCCAATCAACAATTACAGGAGGAGGCTGTGAAAGTTATTTTTGATTCCCCACGACCTTTTCTGACACCTTTGTTTGAAGGTGGAGGTGCCAGTTCAGCCTGGGAAACAGTGATCATCTTATCTGTTGAGGGTGATAAGAACATTCTAGGCTAGGACATGGTTGCTAAGCACAGCTTCCCTTGGGCTTGCTGAGTAGAAGGAGGTGATATTTGGGGGTCTTTTCTCCTTGGAAGCCTTTCCTGGACAAAACATTAAATGTGAGAAGAGGACCAAGAATCCTCTTCTCAAACATGCCAAGGAAAGACTGTGGGATGCTCTTTCCAAAGACCAGTCTATCTGGCACCTCCACGTCATTGTCGCAGACACTAAGGCCGTGATGTTGGTTCTTGGCAACTATCCAGAAGGAGCCACTCTCTCAGCAAACAGTCTCAAATCTTTTTGTTTCTGATTCCCAGATCAAGGTCTTTGCACCCAATTCTGACCCTTCCTACAGTCCTTTCTCGCCCTCCGTCTCTTCCTCTTCAGAGTGGTGGCAAACAGAAATGCCAGGATCATGTGTTTCTGGCCACAGCCTCATGTTGTAACTATATGGATCTGGAGGAGGCTCCTGGGTGCTGCGTTAAGTTTCTGCAGTTCACTAACTCAAGGAATGTAGAGTGTCCCCTTCATCTGGCTGGTCTGAATTGTGTTGTAATGGGTTCATATTAAGGAGGATGCTATAGTTAGCCTGTGAGTGGAAGTCAAATCAAATTTTGTTAACCTAGCAGGGTATTGGGTGGCTCCTATAACTTGGGACTATTTGATAGAACAGGTCTAGATTCAGCAGGATTCAGGTGTCCAAGCTGTCTATTTCCTGTACTTTTCTCAACTGCTCTCTTATGTGCGTGTGCAGATCGTCATTTAGCAAGAGAAG